GGCAATCTACTTTGGTCGGGGCTGACTTGACGGCACATAACAACAACAACAACATATATATATATATATATATATATATATATATATACACACACACACACACACACACACACACACACACACATGCATATACATACTTTTATATATGTATGTGTGTGTGTGTGTATACTCTTTTTGTTCATTGCTCTATTCCCAGAAGCTACAACAGTGTCTCATACACCAAAACACACTGTCATCAAGTTGACTCTGAATCACAGAGACCCTATAGGAAAGAACAGAACTGTCCATATGGTTTGTAAGGCTATATGTCTTTAAGGAAGCTGACTGCCTCATCTTTCTCGCACAGAGCAGTTACTGGGTTTGAATCACCAATCATTTGATTATCAGCCAATTACTTTAACCACTGCACCACCAGAGTTCCTTGTCTCGTACACAATAGGCATTAAATATAAATGTGATGAATGAGTAAGTGAATAAATGAACCTTCGAACTCAAGGAACAGAATTTGAAAACCTCTCCTCTGTATTCTCCAAGCTTTTTCCCATGACTGTTGTATTACTGGAGAGCAATATACATATAAAACAATATATATATAAAATAATATATATTTTATCTTCCCTAAAGAAATACCTTTACTGAAATATGATTAAATGTTATACCCCTCAGCTTTTAGAGAAATGTCTATTTGAGCAGTGATTTTGTAATTTGTTATCCCATGACCCCAATTTAAGAAATCATACAGTAAATTCCTCCTTGAAATCAGTGCCCCAAAAGTTTGTCTCTTCAATCTAAGTTATACTCCTACAGTCATGAAATAAGAACTAAACTTGCTAAGCAGTTTCCCTTTGTGTTAGCTTCCTTGACATTTAATCAGTTCAGTGCTTTGTGCTAGTAATTATCTAAACTTGTTGTTGTTGTTGTTATGTGCCGTTGCGCCAGACCCGACTCATAGCTCAGGCACTAAGCTGCCAGAGCTCCTATCTAAACTTAGGTATCTTACTACATACATTCCTCTACTCTTTTTGGTTCAATTCTGTCATTTTTATTTTATTGTGCTACATAATGTTGTGATTCATTTTATAGACCACTCAAAATGACATTGAAATTGGCAAGTTATAAATCTCAAATTAATACAGTAAAATACTTATCAACATTGTTGAATGTGTACAGCTTGCATTTAGAAGAAGAATCATTTTGTTTTCAGGTACAGATGGAACATGGAATTTCAGGGCAGTGAAACTATTTTTTATGATACTATAATGGTAGATACATGACATTATATATCTTTGAAAATTCATAGAACTGTACAACACAAAAAGTGAACTCCTAATGTAAACTCATGGGAGCTCTGGTAGCGTAGTGCCTAAGGCATATGACTGCTAACCAGAAGGCTGGCGGTTCAAACCCACCAGCCACTCCTAGGAAGGAAGGTTGAGCAATCTGCTTCTGTAGTGATACCCAAGGAGAGGTTGCTATGAGTCAGACTCGACTTGATGTCAGTGAGTTTGGTTTGGAATGTAAACTCTGGATTTCAGTTAGTAATTGAATGCCAATATTGTTTCATCAGTTTTGACATATGTACAATATTAATGTAAGATTTAATAACTGGGAAAACTGTGTGTGGGTGGTAGGGGAGAGAAGGAATATGTGAAAACTGTACTTTCTGCTTTATTTTTCTAGAAACCTGGACTTCTCTAAATAATAAAAGATTTTATTTAAAACAAACAGCTAGCACAATTTCAGATATCATGATATATTCTAAGAAAATTTAGTAATTTTAGCAATGCCCCTGGTGGCATAGTGCCTAAGGCATTTGACTGCTAAACAGAAGGCTGGCAGCTGAAATGCACCAGCCCTACCTAGGAAAGAAATTGGGCAATCTACTTCCATAGAGATATTGCCTCGGAAACCCAAGGAGGGGTCGCTATGAGTTGAAATTGACTCGATGGCAGTGAGTTTGGTTTGCTTTCTGGTATCTTAAAGACAATTAATACAATGATAAAACCTTGAATTATGGAGATGTAATTTTAAATATTCAGGTATTATTCATGCACATAACAAATGACTATTTCTATATATTTTCCCAGCTCCTATGAGAAAATTTACTTGCAAATGTAAAAGAATAGAAGGCAGTATTAAAGGGCAAAAACAAACATTAATTTTGTCTTCTTAAAGATATTAGGGCTTAAATACTAACCCTGTTCCCCAGAAATATACTTAGAATTTGCCCACTGATGAGTTTGGTTTATTTTATATTTTCCAGAGGAAGAAAAGGCAGAAATGTGAAGGAGAGTAATAGTTGTTGATTTCCTACTGCATGTCACATTATCATAGTATTTCACTGAATCCTCCCATTTACAAAATAATGGATTTGAGTTTCAGAAAAGGTTGCACAAACATGACTAAGGTAACACAGTTCATAAGGGACACAGCCATCTTTCACTCTCAGGCCTACAAAGCTCCAATGTTTATATTCTTTCCTACCCAAAAAGTTCTTGTAATCCTCCTCCCTGGGTTATTATATTACATTGGGAAGTAGCAAACCATACCCTCGTGCCCCACCTCCCGCACACAAAAAAAAATTCAGATAAAATTTCTGAGTTCAAAAGGAGTTTGTTAACTGCCCTTCCAGAACAGGTTTGACAGGGATGGATGGTATTCTCTTTCATAGACAGAGGATATCTATGTAAAAGAAGAACAGCAGATAAGGGGAAAATGTAATACAATTTTCTGGTTATAGCACACAATTATAGAAGTATTTCATTTTCATTTTTATTTAATTGGACTGATCATTCAGTTTTTAAGGTTTTTTAATAGTGAACTGACCAAATTTGGCAATACATGCTAGTCTGTAAAGCTGATGACATACCTTTCAGAAGCTACAGACAAAATTGAAGCTATCCCTAATGAGTAGATACAAGAATTGATTTTGAAAATGTCCAAAACTGTTTATATATTGATCTTTTTGAAAATAAGATAAAAACTAGGGACATTGTTCAAGTTATATGCAGTTTTTATAAAAATGTCCATGCAACTTCAGAAGCTTCACCTGCTCTGATCTACATCCAAGGATCCAGGTTAAGACTGCCAGAATGAACAGCAGAGAAGTTACTAGTCATTATAAGGAAAGTGATCTGATTCTCTCTATGTAATCCAGGCCTTCCTGATACATCACTCATTGTGAACTAAATTCTTTGTTCTTTATTTTTTTATTTTATTGCATATAATCCTTGTTTTACATAAAGATTTTTAAAATTTATTTTTTTTGTTGTTGTTGAGAATATATACAGCAGAACAAATACCATTTCAACAGCTTCTACGTGAATAATTTAGGGACACTGACACATTCTTTGAGTTATACAACCATTCTCACCCTTTTCTTCCTCATTGACATAAGCTCACTGCCCTCCTAAAGTTCCTGTCCAATGTTTCAAGTTGCTGTTGTCAATTTGACCCCAAATAGGTAGTCCTTAAAAGAGCATAATTCTTAAGGCAGACCATTTTTACTAATTAAGCTAAACCATTGTTTAGTTTTAAGAAGACTTTAGGGGATATTTTTGGTTTAAGTCTTAAAGATTTTTCTCAAAGCAATAGTTTCAGGGGTTCATCCACCCTCCATGGCTCAAGAAAGTCTAGAGTCCCTGAGAATTTAAATTTTGCTCTGCATTTTCTCCCTTTTCATCAAGGTTCTTCTATGGAATTTTTGATTAAAATGTTCAGTAATGTAGCCAGGTACCATCAGTTTTTCTGGTCTCATGGCAAAGTAAGCAGTTGTTCATGAAGGTCATTCATTATTCCTGATTTTCCTTCTTCCTCCTTTGTTTCAGGTGAACAGAGAACAATTATTGTGCCCTGGATGGCTGCTTGCAAGCTTTTAAGATCCCAGGCACTATGCAATGAACTAGGAGGTAGAACAGAAACACTAAACACATTATTAGGCCAATTAACTGGGACAGCTCATGAAAACATGACCCTAAACCTCCAAACCAAGGAACCAAATTCCATGAAGTGTTTGGTTATATATAAAACTTAACTTCATTAACTTTACTTCAAATGCAGCATGTCTCAGACACAAACTAGTTCTCATTGACTCCCAAATTACACAGGATTGTCCTTTGTTCCATTGATACTGTAACTTAAAGTCTCTCTCTCTCTCTCCCTCTTTTTTTTTTTTTTTCCATAGAATCATTGAACATTGATCCGAGGCCTGTTTCCTGGGTCTCTCAGACTACAGCCATGAACTATAACTGGCTTTATAGACTGTGCATTTGTGAATATTCTTGTCAGGGTGCAATTCACATCAACTACATAACAAATTGCCCCTAGAATATAACTCTTTTGTTATACAACAATTTCTGTCTCTCAACATTTGGTATTATTTTAATATAAGGAGCTCTGGTAGTATAGCATTTGTCTGCTAACCAATAAGCCAGTGGTTCAAATCCACCAGCCACTCTGTGGAAGAAAAATGAGACAGTTTGCTTCTGTAAAAATGAATAGCCTTGGAAACCCAAGAAGTGTCAATACAAGCTAGAATCAACTCAATGGCAAGGAGGTTTTTTTTTTTTTTTTT